ATGGCATAAATCAAATACTTTACTGACCTATGAGTAAACATTCTTTGTGAAACTATTTCTGGGTAATGAAGAAATACAAATGACATGATGTTTTCAACTGGAAATGCTTCTGATCACTATTCACATCAATAATACTGTACAAACGTAACTGAGCACTCATTTCTATTTAGCATGTTAAAAAGCAGACAAGAATAGGAAAGAGAGGCTTTAAATAATAGCAGTAAGAATGATGTCTAGCATAGAAAAAGCTGTGATATGAGGTTTGAAAAATAGATACTCAGTGTTTGAAGACAAACATGAGAATAGTAAGTAATATACTGAACTAAGAAGACTGGCAGATCTGAAGTACACAAACTTGAATTCTGTAAAGATGAGCAGATATATTTAAATTGGTACCAACAGAAATTTCCATAGGATTTAAAAGGGTGTAGATGTGTGATCACCCTGTGGGACTCATTGCCAGGGGTTATCATCTGAAGGGGGCCTACAGGAAAGCTGGGGAGAGACTTTTTTAAAGGGCTTGTTGTGAGAGGACAAGAGGTAACGGATCAAAACTGGAAGAGGGGAGATTTAAGTTAGACATTAGGAGGAAATTCTTTACTGTGAGGGCGGTGAGACACTGGAACAGGTTGCTCAGTGAAGTTGTGGAAGCCCCAACCCTGAAAGTGTTCTAGGCCAGGATGGACTATGAGGAACCTGATCTAGTGGGAGGTGTCTTTGCCCAGGTAGGGTGGCTGGAACTAGATGATACTTAAGGTCCTTTCCAACTCAAACCATTCTTCTTTCCAACTCAAACCATTCTATGATTCTATGATTCTGTGATCAAAAACACATTTGTTTTATAGATGGAGTCAATATCCACACATCTTCAGAGTACCCTGTGTTAGATTTCTAAGGATGAAGAAGAAATTCAGAATAATCTGGATATTAATCCTTCTTGTGCTTCTAATCACAAGACCATATATTTAGTGAGGAATTGCAAACCCAATTATCTTTAGACAGATTATTTTGCAAAGAATGCCTTGCCTTTCCTATTGAGAGCTGAAAGCAAACACAGCCCAAGTGTGATGAAACCCTGCCTTGACTGGCACAACAGTACCTATGCTTGCTTGTATTTCCTACTGCTCTGAGACAGTAACAGGTGACACAATATGCCACAGAGCACAGGGACATGTGTGGGACTCAAGTGAGAGCAGACCCCGTGTCACCGGGCACGGTGAGGGTAGGCAGCAGCTGCATGGCTGCAGCAGGGTCGTTTCAGGAGGGAGCACATCTGGCACAGCTGGAGACAGAGTGGGAGGAAGAAAGTGGAGGAGAACTGATGGAAACATGTCTCCTTTTTTATATAGTTTGTGTCTAGATTCTACCTTCTAGCGGCTGCTATAACTTTAGGTTACATCCTGTTTCTCAGTGAAGAGTTTCCAATATTACTACATTTGTTAGGTCAGCCTGTTCCTGCCATTGTTAAGTCCCCTGGCAAGATGTAGCACATTCTTTTTGTTTCATCAGTTTGACACAGTCACCTCCTGTAGAGCAAAGAAATTGTTTGCTTTAGATGCAATGTGATTTAATAATGGGCCATGCAAAATGATTTATTTGAGCAAGCAGATAATTACAGATTGATGTGAGACATCCGCACTTTCTTCCATTACGGCACTTCTCCATTGCTGAGAAGAGAAAGCTGAAGTTAATTATTTGCCCTCTCCTAATGTCAGCTGCCTTCAGCAATCTGAATTATTACAGTATCAATAATCTAAGAATGGCACCACTTTTCCGCTAGAAATACTAATATAATTTGATGATTTAAAACATATTTTAAAGTTTGTGTTATTAATATTATTTAAATACGTGAAGATAATTTGTTTATATTTGTGGGTATATGGCACTAAATACAAAAGAAACATGAGTAGTATTAACTGTTTCTCAGTGGTAACATAAATGAGAAATACAGATAGAATCATAGAAAAATGAACATTAAGTGCTTTCTCTGTACTACTGATTTGATGTAGCTATCTAAGTATCTGTATGTATCATTCCTCTTTAAGAAATGCGGCCAGTCTGGATTGATATGTAAAATTAAAATCTCAACCACAATCTGAGCATCTTTTGAAATTTATGGATGTTTTCATAAGTAGATTTTCTGAAATGAGAAGAAAGATGACATTATTTCTAAAGGCCCATAAAACAAGGGAAACACTTATACTAATGAACACAATCATCCCTCATAAGTGTGTAAGACTTTTAGACTGTGTATTTAAATCAGCTAGACATGTCTAGTATTTATTAGCTACTTTGTGTCCAGTTGCTACTGCTCTGGATAATGACTGTATGAACTGCAAAAAGACAGAGTACTCAGTTCTCTACTATACCTTTCCAAACTATAGTCATAATTGGCTTTGCAGGCTTAGTTAGCAGGTGATTTATTTAGTGGTTACCAAGAAAATACATTTTGGGACCTGTGCTAGAGAAAACAAAGTACTGTGAGTTGTTATTCACTAAATATTATTTAAAAAACAAATTCCCTTTCATACTTCCGAAATGAGTCAGAGATATTAAATCATTATGATATTTTTTATCTATGATACAATTCACAGAAACTTCTTCTTTCAATGAATAAGATAATCTGCAAATGATATAAAAGATGAACTGCCACTAAAAACTATGTGAAAGCTGCAGGAGTGTTTCTATTGATTCTAACAGATTTTGGACAAAGGTTATTGTAAATAATTAAGTATCTGTCTTTTGACTACTTGGCTGTCTAGACTGGTATATTGCCTAATTTTAGACTAATACCAGACCAACATATACATTTTAGTCTAATAATTTAAAAAGATCTATCATTAATCATAGCAAGTCCACTGGAGAAGACAAATTTTCCCTTCTTCAGTTAATAATTTTTGCTTGCTTAATGTTATTTAAAACATTATTTAATAGGAATTTTCTTTAATGTTATTGCATATAATCTAAATATGTGTTGATGTACTTATTCAAATAACTTTAGATTGAAGTAATAAAATTTGGAAAATTATCTCCCATTGGTAGATGTTTAAATTAAGTATAATGCATATAACATTAATTTTTTTATATACATTGATTTTATATAATTTGTATCTCAAGGATACTGATTAAAAATATTACTGTGGTCAGTGTTAAAGTTCTTGATTTTTCCTTAATTATGTGTTTTTGCCTGAAAAATGTTTGTTCAGTAGATGCAAATACAGCAGGCAACATTCAGGACATTGTAAGAAATACTTGCAATATTTACATCAAAAGTTGGCAATATTCTGATGTCAAGGATTGCCAGTCAAACTTCACTTAGAATAATCTAAAGACATAAAAATATCTTTGTGATGGATGGGATACAGGAGATGTCTACCATGTTTGCATGGGAAATTAAGCATGTGTAGAATAAGGGACTGAACACTGCTTTTACAAAGCTGAAACCTCAGGCTTCTCATCTGCTACTCACTGTAGTCTGTAAGAAAAATTTCAGCATCTTTAAAATTCTATTAATCTAATAAATAGCCATACTTTATTACCTGTTAGTAAACTTATAATTGATAGTCTGGCTCATAAAAAGGTTGAATTTGCTAAATGCCAGTGAACATTTATGCTGCAAAACATAATTATGGGATGATTGTTTACAAATACGTAAACAGGACTTGCTTCTTTAATGTACATCTTTTAAAGGACATATTGACCTACTGTTTGCAGAAGACAGAGAGAAAAAGCTATTTCCATAAGAAGCCTACAGCTGAAGCAGACCAAAGCAGAAAATGTTGCAAGAAGTGGATATGACAGAATTCTTCTGTTGCTTCTCCCTTTTTGATTTTCTTCTTTGTGTTCCTATAGACCCTTCTATTTACTTAAAGTTTTGTCCTGTGCTTTCACCTGGTGCTCCTCTGGGAACACTTATTACTTAACCTTTTCTTACTTTACTGACCACAGTATCCTTGCCACTTCCTTGACATCTGATGCTCCATTCAAAGGCTCCAAGAAGTCTATGACTGTGGAATAATTTGCTGCCTTGCACTGGAAAGACCGGTAGTGCTCCCACCAACCTTTGTAGGGCCTCATCACGAAGCTTTTAACTTCCACTGGAAGGGCAGTGAAGAATGCTTGCTGTGGATCAACCAATGCAGAACTGAGAGATCTATGAAAAATCATATGATCATATTCTCAGCTTTCTTGGAGGAATGGAGGATTTTCCTCCCAGTAATGTAGAAAGAAAGATTTTTTCCACATTTTTTTCATATCTTAATATAAAATTTTAACCTTGGCCTAGTTAGTTTATCATACTACATGGAAACCTTACGTAGTTTAGCTCAAATAATAAAAATAAAAATAAGTTTGTGTACGGAAGTTACTGTGCCCAGCTCTCTGCTCCATTACAGATGTTCATTCAGATGCTATTGCTTCCATATAAAAGTTTATACAGTCCTACAGCTACTGTAAAACAGTTAAGAAAAAACTCTGTAACAGCAAATACATGAACTTCTCCTAAAAGTCTGCCGCCTCTGGTGGAGAAGAGTGCAGGCCTCCTCAGGAGGTCTTGAGAAAGATTTAGTAGAAGACTATTGCCCTTTTAATCATATTTCTGTATCCATGAATTTTTCAAATGCATTGAAAAAATGTAACATTTGAATTCTATTAGCTTTCAGTGGGAAATAGGTATCCAGCTTCTCTCTGTGCTCCTGAAAATACCCAACATATCATCTGAAGCATCCCCCAGAAATTCCTGGCTTTACCATTCTCCTGTGTTCTCTTACCAACATGAAAAACATTTAAGTTCTAATTCTCAAAAAACAATGAATTTTATACAGGTTCTCAGGAGAAAAGAAGTGTGTTTATTTACAGAAATATTTTGTGATCCACATATTGTTCTTATTTTTGTTTTACACCCCATGTCGCAGTTTTCCACAGTTGCACTTTTTAGGAGAACAGCCTGTACTCCAGCATTCATTATTTTGTTTGACGTGAACATTCCTCTTCACTTATAGCATCCAGCAGAGAGCTTGATGTAAACGGCCTTCGAAGCCCAACTCTGCTTCACCTGTTCTCTCATATTGAATTTATTAAGCAGCAGATGGCCAGGGACAACATACAGTTTGTCAGATTTGAATCAATAGACCTCCATGGTGTGTCAAGATCAAAGAATATTCCTTCTCGCTTTTTTCACGTAAGTTTTTTTTTTGTTTGTTTGTTTCTAGCTGTACTTCTATGTGTTTTCATGGCCCTGTCCTTAATTTATGGTGGTGGTTGTTTGTTTTTTTTTTTCCTTTGCTTTTTTTTTCTTTCCGGTAGTGCAGACAGAAACTCAAACTTAGGACAAATTACCTGTTCCCTCCACTTGCTAATGTTCCCCAAGGATGTGGACTTTTTTCAACACTGCAGTCATCTATTTTTATGTTCCTCCAGATACTAATCTAATTAAATAAGGCTAGTAATTTCAGCTCTTTAACTTCTAATAATCTCTTCCCTCAGAATTATCTTTTCAGGTTCAATGCATTATAAAGATTTTGTTTTACTGAACACCACTAAATTGCAAAAAGAAAAGAATAAACACTGCAAGAAAGAACACGACTGAATGAAGATCACCATAGTGATGAGAAATTTTATAGTCATCAATCACATAAGAAAATACCATTTGGTTGCATGATGATCTAATAGCAATATTTGCTAAATTGATGATTCAGGGTATAAGAACCAAATGAGGTTTCACTCACATACCATTATGAATATTTTAAGCTTTACTGAGTGATCACAAAAAAAGATATGAACATGAAAAGATGTAGATCACTTTTGTTTCAAGTACCTTCAGAAGCCTTAGCCGTGTTTTTGTATTTTCCCTTTTAGATTTTGCTAAATGCAACTATATCATCTAGATACAATTTGCTTTTCCTGATGTAATTTGGAATTTATCAAAATAATTTTTCTCTCAGTCTTTTAAATTCTTATGAGGGGTTGTAGGTTAATTGCAACTTCTCTTTCTGTTGCTATGTCAAGTTGCAAATGCCTAGATCAGCTTGTTCAAAGAGAGCATTTGTTTACCTTACCAAATCGGGGCTTTGCATGACAGTCTCAAAGGACACTAAAACATGGTGTATGTGTACACTCACATGCACACATATGTATACACACAGAGTGACTGAGAGTAATTTCCCCCCCTTTTTTTTTTTTTTTTTTTTTTTTTTTTTTCTTTCTTTCTCACATTTTTGGTTAGAAGGGTCACAGGGTGGAGAGGTAGTACTAAAAGATAATCACATTCAACAGCTTTTCAGTGTCAAATTGGGAGCTTAGCCATATTCTCCATGTTGTGCAGTTTTGGTTATGTGAAAATTGCTACCACTGGACTGCCACCTAGTTAAGAGAAGGCAGATTCAAATTATTTATTTATTTATTTTAAAAGAAGAAACCATATGCAGTTTGAAGTGTTTCAGCAATTTTCCAGCTGCATAGGCAAATTTTCAGCTCTGAGCTTGCCCCTTTCTAGGTTTGTTCTGTCTCCTCACTCAGATGGAAATCCTTTACATACAGGTAAGATGTGAACATGAGCCAAATTAAATAAAATCTGTCATACTGAAAGTTTTCACAAGCTAAAGATTTGAACATAAGAGAAGTTGGGAAGGTGCTTGTTTGCAGATAGGTGGTCCTTCCTTGGGTTCCTATCTACATTTCATTTGCATGAGCTGAAATTCTCTGTTCAAATGTAGAATAAGGTATGTAAGATGAAATCTTCAGAAGATATGGAAGCTTAATGGAGTAACTATAGATGGATGTTGATGCCAGGGTTTTAATACCAATCTTGTAGAAGGTTGTTATGCTTCAAAAAGACCATAGTAGCCAGCTGTTGCCCTCCACTTTAATGATCAATGCATTTTGGTGTTCTTTTAGGAAAAACACCATTGTTCTTACCCAGAATCTAAATTTTACATGTTTTGCCTACATAAAAATACTATAGAGCTCTTTTTGGTAACCTGTCGTTTTGCTCTGTGTTTAGGAGAAAGCAATTAATGGTGTTGCCATGCCCAGAAGTTATCTTGAGCTGACACTGAATCCTAAAGATAATGAATTAGATTACATAAATGCAACCAATTTTAATTGTGACATAATCCTGAACCCTGATTTATCAACATTTCGAATACTACCCTGGACTGAGCAAACTGCAAGAGTGATATGTGATGCCTTCACCATTCTGGGCTACCCACTAATGACCTCACCGAGGCACATTGCCAAGAAACAGCTGAGTCAGCTTCAGGACAATGGTTTTTCTCTGCACTCTGCCTTCACATATGAATTCTGTATTTATGGCATTACTGAAGTTGTAAATTCAAAGACAATATCTTTTCCTGCAGCCACGATACTAAATAACCATGACCAGACTTTCATTCAGGAACTCATTGAAGGAATGTATTATGCTGGTGCCAATATTGAAAGCTTTTCTTCTTCCAGTGGGCCTGGGCAAATGGAGATTACTTTTCATCCAGAGTTTGGCATAGATGCTGCTGACAGTGCCTTCACGTTTAGAACAGGCATTAAAGAAGTGGCAAAGAAGTATAACTACATAGCTAGCTTTTTCTCAGAGTCAGGATTCTACAATTCAGGGGCTTTGTCGCATAGCCTGTGGGATGTGAATGGCCAGAAGAATTTGTTTTCTGCTGGTTATGGAGTTGAGGAGCTCTCAGATATTGGAAAAAACTGGTTGTCAGGTCTCTTGGCACACACAGCAGCTATCAGCTGCTTGATGGCTCCTACCACCAGCTGCCGCAAGCCTTTTTCTAAGTATAGTAAAGAATCAAAAGAGACTGTCAATGCAAAATGGGGATATAATGATAACAGCTGTGCCTTTAATGTCAAAAGTCATGGTGGAAAAGGCACTCACATAGAGAATAAATTAAGTTCTGCTGCAGCAAACCCCTACTTGGTGCTTGCTGCTACTATTGCTGCGGGTCTAGATGGAGTGAAGAGAGAGCTTAGGTATGATGACATGCTCCAAGAAGAAGATCACACTGTGGATCTGAAACATTCATCAGTCCCTCTGAAACTAGAAGATGCTCTTGTTGCACTTGAAAAAGATTCATGCATCAAGGAAGCATTAGGTGAAACTTTTATCCGATACTTCATTGCCATGAAACATTATGAGTTAGAAACTGAAGAAATGGATAGTGAAAGGAATAAATGCCTGGGGTATTTTATTTAGAGGGAGCACTCTTCTGTAGTGATGCAGTGTGAATGCAAACAGTGAATGGCAAAGAATCTTGAGATTTGTAAACGTATTTAAAACTTTCTAACATTTCTGGATTTTTTCCCCTCCTTTGTGTAGTATATGGTGATTGCATTTCATTGTTTGTGTACATTCAGGACAGCAAAAAGCTGATATTCATGAAATAACAGTAACAGGATTTTGAAAAATGGAACAGACCTGCCGGTGGAAAGAAGAAAAGAGAAGGTGAAATGGAAAAGAACAACTGTACAACTGTAATGGAACTGTATATTGTGCGGAAAAGTAGGAATAATGGGGACAGTGGAATGGGGCAGGAGAACTAAGGAAGCAGGGAAAACACTTGTTTAGTGTGGTTATGGGATTTCTATCAGCCTCTCTTCAGTAGCTGAAGGGTTTCTAAGCCGGAAGAATTTGAGTTTGATTTAAAAGTTAGGCTAGAATGATGAACATTATAGAGAGAGGGGCAAAGGACTGAGGCTGTAGATCCTAAGAAGCAGGAATCAGTATCTTAATGAACACAAATAAAAAGACAGGAGGGATTATGAAATAATCTATATATCAGGAATTCTGCTACAGACTGAAGTTTGCAATTATAGTGGATGAAGGCACTAAAATAAATAAAACGATGGCTTGAAGACAGAATTATTCATAGAAAGCCAGGAGTGTTACTATTGTGCAATGAAAAAGGAGCTGGTATAATGTCTATTTTGGTAGTTTATGGGTTACTTCAGAGTTGAATAACAAATGAGAAAGAAAAGAGCAAAGAAGCCAGAGAATTAAGAGCTTAAACTGGACTTCATTGGGAAATCTGATCATATCAAAGATGAAGAAGATGATTATGAAGAGAGGAACAAAAAGAGTAGGTTAAGACAAGAAAGAATGAGTGAAGATGTGAATACAGATACTGACAAATAGTGGTTAAAGCAGAAGAAAAACCCTAAAATTATAAAGGCCAGCTGTGTAAGGAAAAAAAAATGTTTTTGAATGGCAGGAGGTGGGTTTTAGATTTGCTTTCTTTTTTTGTTACTGTTGCCACCATAATCCTTTATTACTGAAGATAATACTGGTTTCATACTTCACCTCCAATTTCTGATATTCTTGGCACAATATTTTCATCCATATGTAAGAATTTGTGAGTGAAACTTCTTATCAGTGGAGTGAAAAGATTCAGTCAATGCCTCTGTCAGCTTGCAGAACTAGGAGGTGTGAACAGAAACATGCTAGTTTCCTACTGATGGATCTTCCACTCTTCCCCTGCAAAGTATTGTACTGGAAATTTAGCTCCTGGTATGCTAAAACTCTCTGGAATTCAAAAGAAGGAATAACTTTATACTTGGGTAGAAAAGGAAATAAATAATGTGAGGAAACATGATAAATGCATTCCCTTGTCTCAGTCTGTGGTTGGTGTGTGGATTTGCTTCTCTCCCTTACTCACCTGACACATTGTTTGGATGCCCCAGGTCACGAGACTATTCTTCTCTGCTCCAAGCTGATTTGCTTTGGCGGGTCTAATTTTTCAGGGGGCCTGGAAATCTGAGTTGTCTTTTGTCTTCTCTTTCTGGTTATTTCCCACCCTTGCCTTCACAAGCTCTTGGCAGAAAACACCCATTAAAAGACTTTTCTTGCTCAGATGGCTTACTTACCATGCTCATGATTTACTCCCAGCAGTCACACAGATTAATTACTTATTCTTCATCCAGCAAAGCTGTAATAAGGCACAACTCTGCATGTACGATGTGTCTTAATTTGATGGGATTTTTTTAGGGTAGTAAATACACTGACTAAGCAAAGTTGTACCAGAAATAACTATGGAACATCTTGAACTTCTGCAGGCATAATTATCTTAATTTTAAAGTTTTTCTGGAAGCTGATTTTGAAATAGAAATGAATTGCCACAGCAGAGTTTCTAAAAACCAGTCTCAGATCTGTATTTATTTTTCACAAATTATTCTTTAAAAATAAATAATATTAAAATGTAAGTGATCTTACTCTTCTCAATGAAATGCCTATAAAATGGAGTTATAGTACTCTGATTTCTTCTGGGATTTGGAAAGCTACGCTGGCATAACACTGACCACATTTTTAAGGTGAAATCTCAGAAGATATTTAGGTTCACTTTCTACTTTTTACTTCTTCTGGATGTTATTGTAGTGATGGTAAAATAAATGAAAGAATCAGATAAAAAGGTTTATTTTTCCTCTTAATAAGTATTAGTAGGATATCATGCCACTTACTATGCCAATTTGCAAACAATTTTCTTTGGTAGGTTTATAGGGCAATTTGCGGTTCACCTTGGATTTATAATTATATGTCACTCTATACAGTCACCTTTTAATAGGTAGCATAAAATGAACTCCTAAAACTAAATTTAAAGAACATGGAGTTCATTATATATTGTATATACTACCCATATAATTTTCTTAGTCAGAACACTGAAGCAATAAAAACATTAGACCTAAAACTTTCACTGTATGTGTACAGCTATTTGATTAAGATATAGGAAGATATTATTTACAAACAAAAAACCAACAAAAACTGATGTTCTACAGGTTATCTTATAGAAGATGAGAGAAATCTGCATGTATTTTCTAAGTAGCCCTCAGTGACAAAGGCTCTGAATATGCAGTGACTATATGATTTAAAAAAATTTCATGTTTGCAGAAAATTAATAACTTTCTTTTTAAAAAAAAATAAGGTTCAAGAATGCAACTTGAAATTAGAGTGTCCTAAATTTAGGTCAATATTTTGTTCAATGCTATTTCCTAACTATGTTCTATATAATTAAAATAAGATTATTCCAACTCTGTGGGAAAACATAAAAAATGCTTCATAATGAGAAGCTATGAATTTTTAAAGTTGTGTGCATTCCCCCCAAAATTTTAATGCATATTGTTTAGAAAGGCAACAAGAAAAAAATAACTCCTTCATACTGATAATTTGAAATCAGTTACTATTGACTGCATATCTAACATTTCATCTTGAAGTGTTATTTGAAAATGTTATTAACTGTTCTGCATGTCCAAGATCAATGTCTTGAGCATTATCTTGACAGATAATTTGAACTTGTGTAGGGTTATAAATTAAAAAAAAACACAACAAAACACAACAAATGACATTTGAAATCTGTAGTTTGGCTAATTTTCCAGAACAGTCAGATGTTGCAAAGCCTTATTTAAAATGTTTCTAATACTAATAAATACTTCTTTACTATTTTCAACTTTAAGCAGACTGTATTTTTATATCTTTGTTTACAAAGCAGTATTGCTTTTGACATTCTTCCTTTTCTATATGTTTATCCATGCCAGATCTTGGTTCCTCTGGTGGCTTTGTGTGGCCAGGTTTTGGTAGTGGGGGGAGGGCTGCAGGGCTTCTAATGTCTATGAGAAGCTGCTGGAAGCTTTCCCTGTGTCTGACAGAGCCAATGCCAACTGGCTCCAAAACAGACCAACTGCTGGCCAAGACCGAGACCATCAGCAATGGTGGTAGCACTTATGGGATAACAAATTCAAGAAGGGGGCAAATTTGCTGCACAACAGCAACTGCAGCTGAAGAGAGGAGTGAGAATATGTGAGAGAATCAACAATGCAGAGCCCCAGGTCAGGGAAGAAGGAGATATGGGAGGTGCTTCAGACACCAGAGCAGAGATTCCCTTGCAGCCTGTAGGCAGGACTTGTGAACCTGTGGGGGATCCACACTGGGGAAGTCTATTCCTGAAGGACTGACTGCACCTCATGAAAGAACCCGTGGTGGGTCCCCAAACTGGAGCAGGGCAAGAGTGTGAAGAGACTGTCCCTTGAGAGGGAGGGAGCAGCAAAGACAAGATGAACTGACCACAGGCCCCATTCCTGTTCCCCTGTTCTCCTTGGGGAAAGAGGCAGAGAATTCAGGACTGAAGTTGCGCCTGGGAAGAAGGGAGGAGTTGGGGGAAGATGTTTTAAGATTTCGGAGTTTTTTCTCAATACCTTTCTCTGATATGATAGGCAATAAATTGTGCTGGTTTTGTTTGGTGGGCTTTTTGGGAGTGGGGGAGGCACACCAGCGGTGACTCTGATAAGAAGCTGAGAAGCTCCCCCTGCTCCAAATCCAGCTAAGGAGCCATTAGAGGGATAACAGATGCACCTCAGCGATTAACATACAAAAAAACTGATATAAGAGGTAAGCAGAGCGAGCACTTAAAAAGAAAAAAAGAAGAGCTGAGCTGGAGAGGCAGAGCTGTGCTGGTGGTTGGTGAGGGAGAAGGGGAAGAAGGTGCCCTACCAGAAGTTTCCCTGCAACCCATGGCGAGAGAGCAGGCTGTGCCATAGTATTAGAAAACAACACAACAGCTACAGAGCCCTACATACAGTAGGGTATTTTGAATTTGGAACTGCCATGCTTCCAATGGCTTCAGGTTTTGTGAGATATGAAAACACTACTTACTAACTCACATTTCTACTGCATGTGTAGCCATTGTCATAGTGTACACAAATGAATATTCAGTCTTTTTCTTTCAAGCTCCAGGCAGAGGGCAGCAGTGTATTGTGCAGCTTTCCTCTGGGTTCTCAAGCTCTCATGCTGTGCTGAAAAATGCCACGTTAAAATATACTTATATATTTTATAAATTTACTTAGAATATTTTTTAAAAAGGGTAGTATGGCACTGAAAAATAATGCATATCTTTCTTATTTGTTTAGGTAAGCTTCATTAACTGTTGAATTTGCGTAGCCTTTTCAGTAAAGGATGCACCATGGGACTAAAAATATGTTTTCATTCTAAATAACATTATATAAACCTTAATCTAATGACACGTATATGTGTATATTTTTGTGAGTGTGCATGTGTGTATCATCTTTATGTAGTCTTTAACAACACTGCTACACAAACATAAGTAATTTAATGGCAGCATTCAGTATTTGTAACTGAATTTACACCATCCTTACTAAAATACTTTGGGAAGCCTACTTGCCTCTAGGGACTGCCATTTTACCTATACTGAT